CATGGGATGTCTTTCCATTTTTTAAAGACTTCTTTAATTTCCTTCATCAATGGTTTATAGTTTTCCATGTATAATTCTTTCACCTCCTTGGTTAGATTTATTCCCAGATATTTTATTACTTTGGGTGCTATTTTAAAGGGGATTGTTTCTTTACTTTCTTTTTCTGTTGATTTATCGTTAGTGTAAGGAAATGCAACTGATTTTTGAACGTTGATTTTGTAACCTGCTACCTTGCTGAATTCTTCAATCAGCTCTAGTAGTTTTTGTGTGGACCTTTTAGGGTTTTATTTATTTTCTTCTTTGATTTTTTTTCAGCCTTGTTTTGCAGTTTTCAATATAGACATCTTATATATATTTTGTTAGATTTATATCTAGGCATTTCTTTTTTTTTAAGCCATTGTAAATGGAATTGTATTTTAAATTTCAGTTTCCACATATTCATTAGTAATATAGAGAAATGTGACTAAGTTTTGTGTTGATCATATATTTTGCAACCTTGCTGAATTCACTTACTAGTTTTAGAATTTTTTTTGTAGATTCCTTGGGATTTTCTACATAGACCATTATGAGGTGGGAGGGAAATAGCTCAGTGGTAGAGCCCATGCTTAGCACACACGAGGTCTTGGGTTCAATCCCCAGTACCTCCACAAAAAACAAAATAAGAGTACATAAACCATTATGTTAGCTGTAAGTAGGAACAGTTTTATTTCTTCCTTTCAGATCTGTATGCTTTTTATTGCTTTTCCTTGCCTTATTATGCTGCCTAGAACTTCCAGTATTACACTGAATAGGAGTGATAAGAGTGGACATCCTTGCCTTGTTTCCAAGCTTAGGGGAGAAAACATTCAGTCTTTCAGTGTTAAGTATGTTCGCTGTAGTTTTTGTAGGTTAGTTGTAAGTAATCAAGTTGAGAAATTTCCTCTCTATTCCTAGCTTTCAGAGACGTCTTTTTTTTTTTCTTTATCATGAAAGGGTGTTGAATTTTGTCAAATGCTTCTTCTGGGACAATTTATATGATCATGTGATTTTTCTTCTTTGTCCCATTAATACGAGATTCCGTTGATTGTATTTTGAATATTGAACCAGACTTGTATCCCTGGAATAATCCCCACTTGGTCACAGGTGTATAATTATTTTTATATATTGCTGAATTCTCTCTGCTAATATTATGTTAAAGAATTTTGCATCTATATTCATGAGGAAGATTGATCTGCAGTTTTCTTTTTTCTATTATCTTTGTCTTTTTGTTTTGTTTTGTTTTGGTTTCAGGGTAATCCTGGCTTCATTGAATGAGCTGGGAAGCATTCCTTCTACTGTTTCCTGAAAGAGATGATGTGGAATTGAAGCTAATTCTTCTTTAAATGTTGGGTAGGATTCTCCAGGAAAACCATATTAGCCTGAAGATTTCTTCTTCACATTTTATATTACCTTAGTAGACACAGGGCTATTTGAATGATCTAAGTCATATTGAGTGAGTTGTGGTAGTTTGTACTTTTTGAGGATTGATCCATTTAATCTAAGTGGTCAAACCTATGTGTCAAGAGTTGTTCATTGGGAGTTGGAGACTTGCAGATGCTGACTGATACATATATAGAATAAACAACAAGTTCATGCTGTACAGCACGGGGAGCTATATTCGATGTCTTGTAGTAACTTACGGTGAAAAAGAATGTGAAAACAAATATATGTATGTTCATGTATGACTGAAGCATTGTGCTGTACACCAGAAATTGACACAACATTATAAACTGATTATACTTCATTAAAAAAAAAGAGTTATTTATAGTATTTCCTTATTACCTTTTTAGATGTTAGCAGGATATGTAGTGAGATCCTCTGTTTTGCCCTTGCTATTAGCAATTTTTCTCCCTCTTTTTTAAATTTGTCAGTCTTGCGAGAGATCTGTCAATTTCATCGATCTTTTCAGTGAACTATTTTATTTCCTCTATTTTTCTGTTTTCACTTTCATTGATTTCTGCCTTTATTTATTATTTCCTTCCTTATGCTTTTTTTTGCATTTGTTTTGCTTTTATTTTTCTAGTTTCCAGAGATGGAACCCTATATTAATGATTTGAGACTTACTTTTTTAACGTAAGCATTTAGTGCCATAAACTTCCCTCCTGTGCTTTGGCTGTGTCTCACAAAATTTGCTAAGTTCTATTTTCATTTTCTTTCAGTTCAATGTATTTTTTAAATTTCCCTTTACATTTCCTCTTTGACCCATGGATTATTTAGAAGCTTGCTATTTAGTTTTCAAGTGTTTGAAGATTTTTCAGATATTGATTTCTAGTCTGATTGGGGTTAGAGAATATACTCCAGATGGTTTCAATTATTTCAATTTTTTTGAGGCTTGTTTTATGGCCCTAAATTTGGTTTATCTTGGTATATGTTCCATGTGTGCTTGAAAGGAATGTGTATCATGCTGTTTTGGGGTGGAGTGTTGTAAAAACATCCATTAGATACTGATGGTTGATGGTGATGTTAAGCTTTTATACATCCTTGCTGATTTTCTGACTAATTGTTCTATCAGTTGTTGAGGGTGGGTGTTGAATTCTCCAGCCATAATTGTGGATCTATCTATTTCTCCTTTCACTTCTGTTGAATTTTGCTTCAAACTTTTTGTAACTCTGCTCTTTGGTACCTACAAGTTTAGATTGCTGTGTCTTCTTGGTGGATTGAGCCTTTCCTCATTATGTAATATCCCCTCTCTGGATTTGGTCATTTTCTTTGTTATGAAGTCCACTTTATTTGTTATTATTATAGTCCGTCCTACTTTCTTTGTTTAATTGAGATATAATCAACATATAACAATATATTAGTTTCAGGTGTATAACAATAATGATTCGATATTTGTATATATTGCAAAATGATCACCACAGTAAATCTAGTTAATGTCCATCACCACACATAGTTATAATTCTCTTTCTTGTGATGGAAACTTTTACAGTCTACTCTCTTAGCAATTGTTAAATGTACAGTAGAGTATTATTAACTATTGTCACCAGGCTGTACGTAACATCCCCGGGACTGATTTATTTTATAACCAGAAGTTTGCACCTTTTCTCCTCCTTCATCCCTTTTGTCCATTCCCATCCCCGCCCCCTGCCCCTGGCAGCCACCAATCTGTTCTCTGTATCTATGAGCTTGTTTTCCTTTGTTTTAAGATTCCACATCTAAGCGAGACCACATGACATGGTGTTTGTCTTTCTCTGACTTATTTCACTTAGCGTAAGTGCCTCCAGTCCCATCCACGTTGTCACCAATGGCTAGATGTCCTTTTTATGGCTGAATAATATTCTTTTGTACACATTTTCTTTATCTACTCATTCATCAATGGGCCCTTAGGGCACTGCCGTGTCTTGGCTACTGTAACGAATGCTGTGCAGGGAACAATGGGGCGCAGATAGCTTTTCAAGTTAGTGTTACAGTTTTCTTCAGATAAATACCCAGAAGTGGAACTGTTGCCCCAGAGAGGCAGGGGGTGTGGCCAAGAGGAGTGAAAATCAGTCACTGGCGATATTACTGTGCTTCCCCTTTCACTCTTAGATGCTGCCAGGGTCCCTGAAGAGCGAAGACACGAGGAAACAGGTAAAAACTATTTTGTCTTTTTGCTTTCAGCAAACACGTATGGAGCAGCTGCTGCGTGCCGCGCACAGTTCCCAGGGCTGGGGGCACTGTGGGGGCTCCCCTGCCTTTCCCTTGTCTGTGTTACAACAGGTCGGTGACCTCTGTCTCTGAGCACCTCCCTTGCCAGGCCTGGCACGTCTTCTAGGGTAGGATGGGTCACCGGATGCCCAGGAGGGAAGACTGGACTCGGGGAGGCCAGCTCTGAGGTCCTGCAAGGACCACAGGTCTGGACAGCATGACCTCGTCCTGAGCCTTTGCACCCAGTGCTGACTCCATGCCCTACCCTGCTCAGCAGCTTTCCAATTCCAGGCCCTGGGCACACTCCTCATGCTCCAGAGACTGCCTGGAGCTCCCTGGGGTGAGCAGGCAGCCCTGCTCTGAGAAGCGCCCGTCTCCCCCTAGTCCTGGTGGCTTACTCCAGCGGGTCCCCAGCGAGGGTGTGACTGGGGGCTGCTGCCAGAGGGGGCGCCACGGGGAAAGGAATCCGGCCCTTGCCAGAGCCCTTGTGAACCCAAAGGGCATCCGTCAGAACACAGACCCTGCCGCCCTAGCAAGGTTTTCACGGAAGTTGTAAAACTCTTCCCACAGCTAAAGAAGTCTGGGCTACGTGCTGTACACTAGCGTCCATGTTGGGAGACATACCATGCACACAGCTAGTTAAAGGCTTGGAAAAGACCCGCACTGAAGAATCCTATTTCACTTTTTCTAACCCAGCTTCTCTCAGATGGCTGTGACCTGGAAGACTTTTTTGGGTGTAACACTATTAGCACCTGCAGAGCTGTATGAGTTCTGTCTGGAGAGTCCTGAGGGGTTCAGACCACGTACCCCTCCCAGCCCTGAGTGGTATCCGGGCCAGACCAGCGTGGCTGCTACGCCTGGGAGCAGATCCCCTTCCTACTTTCAGCAGGCAGCCTGGCTTTCCCCAGCAGCCCTTAGCATCAGCCAAGCAGTCTGCGGAGCTAAACAGGTGGAGGGGCTGGGGGCAGGGGCGCCGACGTGTGGGAAACGCTGGCCAGGCGGGTGGGAGAGAGACAGGTCTGTGCTGAGACCGGAGACACACTCTGCTGGCACGTCCTGCTGGCTTCCCCAGGGACGGGCCTGAAGGGCACAGCCATGCAAATTGGGACTTAAATTAACTCTATGTAAATAGAATTCTATGTAAAAGTCTAATGGAGTAGCAGTGAAGCTCACCGCACCCACCCACACGGAGATGGGCAGTGGTTGCACACTGGTAGCCCCTGGACCACCTCTAGCCCACAGATAGGTTCTGTTTGCCCAGCCCTGTGTTTGTTTTATTCAAAGCAGGACATTTCACGTGAGACTTTGGCTTCTTATTTCTTTTAAAACAGTAGAAGATCAGGCAGTGCTGAGCTGACGTTCCCACTTGGCAACAATTGGGACTGAGATAGTCATGACCTTGTCCCCACCTGGTTGATTTATGTTTCCTCCCCAGCCCCTGGGGGCATTTGAGTGGGATCCTCGGACCACATTCTCTTATGTCCTTTCAGACCCACCTAAATGCTCTCCTGGCATCATACTTATCTATTGGTTTTAGAGTTGTTTTTCTCCTGGTCTTTAAAATCAAGGTTTGATCATATCCCTCCCCTATGTGAAGCCCTTCGCTAGTCGCCCCAAGGCAAGTTCCAAGTGACCCAGGATCTGGCATTCGAGGTGCTCAGTGGTCTGGTGCCACTCAATGCTTGAGAGTGGGGCAGCAAGTTTATGCAATTCTGGATGAATGGATGGATGGAAGGAAAGAAAGAGTGCTGGGAGAGAGAGGCTAGCCCTGCATGGTTCTCAGGATGATGGGAGAGGCACGGCGTACCCAGAAAAACCCCGTGAGCTTCCAGAATTCCATATCCCACCATGCAACCAGACGTGGTCCTCCCGGGATCAGGGAAAAGGGGTCGGAGCTCAGTGGGTGAGCAAGAAAAACTGTCTGCAAGATGTAAGTGACCAGATGGCTCAAAGACAAACTCTTCCCAGCCCAGGCTCCTGCCTAGACACAGCATCATGCATCTCCTTGGCCTCTCGCTTCTGCTTCTCGGTAAGGACAGAGCCGAGGCTGGTACTTGGGTTCTGGGATGACTGTGGGAGATGGAGGAGGGGGAAAGATCGGGGGTGGAGAAGAGTCAGTGTTGGGCAGAGTAGGGACAGGGAGTGTATACCTGTGTATAGATACTTCTCTCTTTGTGTATCTCCCTCTCCGTCACTCTCTCTTCAGAGAAAATTGTTTACTCCTTTGAAAGCTCTCAGTGTCCTCTAGTAATGCTTTCTCTTCACTCTGGTGGGTTCCAGAGTACTTGGCTCTCTCTGATTCAGCTTTATGGACATTTTATCATCCCAAGACCATCTACGCCTGGGACGGGGCCTGTGTCTGGATTCCCTGCAACTACAGGATCCCAGGGAAAGAAAACATCTTAAGCCACCTGATCCTGTACCACAATTTTTCTTATGACAACACCAACAAGAATTATAGCGGGACCATCCTCTATAAGAACCAGAAAGCCAAGGAGTTTCCTCCTCATCAGGAAAGGGTACAATTCCTGGGAAATGAGAGAGGCAACTGCACCCTCTACATCAACCCTGTGAAAGTCAGCGACAGTGGCCAGCTGGGGCTGAGGCTGATGACGGTGGGGCCTGAGAAGTGGATGGAGTCCATAGGCCTCAATGTCTCTGGTAAGGCCCCGGGGGCGGGTTCCTCTGTCTCGGGCAACCAGGGAGGTGGGAAAACACCTGACTCCTGGAGCAGATCACAAGCTGGATTGCCTGTGGAGGCCGGTTGGGGGTGCCAGCGAGCGATGCGGGCAGCACAAGACAGTGGGACTGGGGCAAGCTGGAGCCTGAGCACTTGTCCCGCTCAAGCATCCCACCTGCCACTCGGCTCCTGCCCATTCTAGAACCTGGGCCCCAGGGTCGCCTGATTTTTCCCAGAGAAGATGGAAACCTGAATTTTCGAGTGAAATCTCCCGATGTGTTCATGGCAAGCTGATTAATTCTAACTAGCCCTTTGTAGCTCCACGACACACGGAGGGGAGTTAAGCAAACACAGGTCTGGGGCCTTCACCCCAGGGAGTGTGTTCACTCCATTCCGCAGCCCGTTTATTCAGTGGGTGGGTCTAAGCAGCACTATGTTTGGGGTGAGGGATGGAGCTTCAGATGCTGCAATCGGAGGGCAGCCCGGTCCCGGGCAGAGTGAGGCCTGGCTGCACACAGGCGTCTCCCACTAAAGGAACCCCGACAGGAGTGCTGTGTGGGACGTCTCCAGTATTGAAGCCTTTGGACGAATGCAGGTTTGTCACCCAAGCTAAGAAAAAAAAATGCATGTTGAACGAAAGTGGTGAAATCCACCGAGAAGAGTGGGGTGATGGAAACGTTTGAAAACAAACGTCAGGGAGTGTGGACGAAGCAGAAGACATAAAACACAGTTCCTAGGGAGGATCAGCACAAGAGCTTTCAGAGAGGGTTCTGGCCGAGCAGAGAACGGCAGGCCCGGAGAGAGATGCGCTGGGCTGGCCAGGGATTCCTGAGGGGTTATTTGGAGCAGGGCGTCTAAAGGCAGTCGTGAGAAGCTAGCGCACGCCAGCCCTCAGTCTCCCAGGCCTCCAGCATGGTCCCTGCTCCTTTGCAGAGAAGGCTCCTCCACCCCACATTCAGCTCCCTCCGGAAATCCGGGAGCTCCAGGAAGTCACCGTAACCTGCTCGCTGAATTTCGCCTGCTTTGGGTACCAGATCCATTTGCGGTGGTCCCTGGAGGAGCCTGCTGTCAACGTGACCACCCTGGCCCCCAAGACCCCCCCGACCACCCACATCACCCTCACCACCAAGACCATCTCCAGCCAGAGCAACCTCATGTTCCAGCCGCAGTGGACTCACCATGGCAAGAATCTGACCTGCCAGCTCTGGGACCCCACGGAACAGCACATACTCTCTGAGAAAACGGTGCAGCTGGATGTGAAGCGTGAGTCTCCCCAGTGCTCCCATGGGAGGGACGAGGGTCATGTCATCTCTCCGCCCTCCTCGGCGGGCACAGAGGGTAACAGGGGCCCATACAGAAGGAAGGAAGTGCAATGGGTCTGTGGGCACCCGCGGCTGGGAGTGGTCCAGGCAGAGCTGTGGTCCACACTGGTGTTTCAGGCAACAGATTCCTATTAGCATCTGCTTTAGTCCAACGGAAGAAAATAATTTAGTCTATCCTCAAACCATGACATGATTGGGGGATCCCCTGCTTAAGGTTTTTTGGTTCCCCTGGGAGGCATGTGAGGAATTTTTGTCACATCCTTGTTTGTGCCTCATTCATGCATTCAGTAAATATTTACCGTGAACCTACTAGGCGCCTTATCATAGAGCAGTGAGCAAAGTTCTCACCCACGTGGAGCTAGCACTGCAGTGGGGGAGACGAACAGTAAATAGATTAACGAAGAAAGAGAGAACACCATTGTAGGCGGTGCTAAGGGTATGAAGATAAAATAGAGCAGGGCTAGGACAGAGGGAGTGAGGGACGCAGGCTTCTCTGAGGAAGGTGAACTTGAGCTGAGACTTGAGTGAAGAGAGGGACTGACCAGGCAAACGCTTGAGAGAATGTTCCATGGGGAGGGGAGAGCCAGTACGAGGCCTTGAGGAAGGAACCTGGAGTGTCTGCCTCAGTGCAAGGGGCCAGAGAGCCTCAGCACTGCACCCAGGGGGCCGAGTGGTAGGAAAGAAAGGCCGAGAGGGACGGGGACACTGGATCTCATGGGCTGCACTGAAGGTTTGGGGTTTAACTCTAAGTGTGGAATCCACTGATCGGGTTTCAAGCCGGGGAGTGGCGAGGTCTGTTGGACTGCCCTGGCCGCTGGTGGAGACCAGATCTTTGGGGACCGGGGTAGCGGGAGCAGAGAGACCAAGGAGGCGGCTGTGACAGTCGCCTGGTGCTTGGACAGGCCCACGCTTGTTGACAAGGGTGACAGTGAGGAGCCGCACACCCTTGCCCGCTCTGTACGGGTCCCTGCTTTATCAGAATAAAAACCCTACAACTTCTCACCGCTTTATACCCTCTGGGAATTCCCTGTCCCCACCTCCACTGTCCCTCTGCTCCTCCAGACTTGCCCAAGTTGAAGATCCAGGTCCTTCCCCGAGAAGCCACAGTAATGGAGGGGGCGTCCGTGACCATGGAGTGCCAGGTCATCAGCAGCAACCCACAGCACCGGCAGATATCCTGGTTGAAGAATGGGAACCCGCTGCCGGGGACAAAGAATGTGCTATTGCTGCCCGAAGTGACCAGGGACATGAGTGGGAAGTACCACTGTGAGGCTGTCAATGTCCTAGGCTCAGGAAAGTCGGAAGCCGTGGACCTCCAAGTGCTCTGTGAGCCCCTGGGTGCTGGGGGAGGGGCGGGCAGGGAGCTGGCAGGGGCGCAACCAAAGCCCCTGGGACGGGAGTGATGAAGGCCTCTGCTCACCTCCCCGCTTCCTCTGCCTCTTCTTCCAGATGCTCCGGAACCTTCCAGGGTTCAGCTCTCACCCTCGACAGTTCAGGAAGGAAATCAAGTGAAGCTGACTTGTGTCTCACGGGCCAATCCTCATCCAACAAATTACACCTGGTATTATAATGGGATAGAAATGCCTGGAAGGACAAACCAGAACTTCCAGATCCCAGAGGCCCTCCTCAGGCATGCTGGGAGGTACTCCTGCTTGGCGGAAAACAGTCTTGGTCTTGGACAAGTTGGTGAGGAAGCTGAGCTGGACGTCCAATGTGAGTGGGTGCAGATTCTGGGTTCTGGAGGGAGAAGATGGAGGTAGGAGCAGAAGGAAGGCCGGGGAGTCCTAGAGTGGACAGCAAGCAGAGGCCAGGGGCTCCAGACAGATTAGCTTCTCGGAGCGAGTGTTCTGCTGTTGATCTCAGTTGTGTCCTTAGCTTAGCAGCACAGGGCCTGGCTCGTGGGAGGTGAATGAACTGCAAGATACCGGGGTCCCATGAGGGACACCGAGACATGGCGTCACTAGGCAGTGGCTGAGCCCCTGAAGGGGTCCTGAAGTCTTCAAGGAGAACCAGGGCAAAATGCCTCATTGCCTCTCTGTAGTCAGACTCTGTCTAACACGATGAGTCTGATCACTGAGGCGAGCGAGCCCAGGACAAAGAGAATCCATAGGTTTGATCCTTGCACCCTGGGATGTCATAGTCTGGGCCGCACACACTGATAAGGATGCCCAAATCCTGAATATCTAGACACCGGACATGGGGATACAGCAGCAGCAGCAGCAAGTGCACTGAGTGTTTAGCACACGTCATGTTGTTCTAACGGCATCGTGTCACTTCATTCTCACAGCGATTCCACAAGGTTAGGTACTCGGAGGACCCCATTTAACAGATGAGTAAGCTGAGGCCTGCAGCCCCAGGTCACACAGCTCTAAGTGGCAGGATCCGGCAGTCTGGCTCCAGAGCCATGCTTTTCTTTCCTTCTTTTAAATTACTGCCCTCGCTTTAGCAACCCGGCTCCATGCCCCAGACCCACGCAGAGACCCACAAACAGCAGCCCCTTCTGTGCACAGCGCCATGCGTACCCTGCCTGCCCAGAGCCGGGCTCTTAACCCCTGCACCATCCTGCCTCAAGCCACAACCAGGCCAAATGGCCAGGGCAGGGTTTCTGTCTTCAGATGCAAGGGGGAAGCACAAGTCTTCCCTTAGTTAATTAAGGAACAGTGTGAATGCAGGGGCTGGGGAGGGGGCAGAGGAAGCAGGAAGGAAAAGGTATTATGGACGGCTGACTTTTCTTCACCCGTCTCTCTGGTTTTTCTCCCAGATCCCCCCAAGGAGGTAACCACGGTGATTCAAAACCCCATGCCGATTCGAGAAGGAGACAGTGTGACCCTGCTCTGTACCTACAATTCCAGTAACCCCAGAGTTACCCGCTATGAATGGGACACTGTAGGCTCCCGAGTATTACCTGCGGGGCTGACCATTCAAAATGTTGCCTGGGACACAGGGCCAGTCAAATGCGCAGCTTGTAACCAGTGGTGTTTTTGGTCTCCCCTCGTCAACCTGGATGTCCAGTGTGAGTGTCCTGGGCGGGGGGAGCTGGGAGGTGGCCCAATCGGGGTACGGGGCTCTGAGGGTGAAGAGATTGAAGCCTGGACCAGAGTCTGCACAGAGAACCGAGGGATGAGAGTCAGGCCTCAGGGCCAAGGGGAGAGGAAGTCTAGGGGACACGAAGAAGGAAAGGAACCCAAGAGGTCAGCCTGAGGTCCTTGCTCTCCAGATGCCCCCAAAGATGTCAGAGTCCTGATCAGCCCTCATACTGAGATTTACTCTGGGCACCGGGTCCTCCTCCAATGTGACTTCTCCAGTAGCCGCCCTGCGGACATCCACTTCTTCTGGAAGAAAAATGGAATCTTTCTGGAGGAAGGAAAGGACCTGAGCTTTGACTCCATCTCTCCAGAAGATGCTGGAAGTTACAACTGCCTGGTCAACAACTCCATTGGACAGACTGAGTCTAAGGCCTGGGCCGTCCAAGTGCTGTGTGAGTGGCTGGAGCTGGAGGCCGGGAGCAGAGATGGGCAGGTGACGGGCTGCTGGGATCCTGACTTTGTTTCTCCTTCCAGATGCACCCAGGAGGCTGCATGTGTCTGTGAGCCCGAAAGACGGAGTGATCGAGGGTGGGGAGGCAGTCCTGACGTGTGAGAGCGATGCCAACCCTCCCATCTCCCATTACGCCTGGTTTGACTGGAATAACCAAGACCTCCACCATTACGATCAGACGCTGAGATTGAATCCTGTGAAGGTCCAGCAGTCAGGCGCCTACTGGTGCCAGGGGACCAACAGGCTGGGCAGGAGCCAGTCGCCCCCCAGCACCCTCACTGTCTATTGTAAGGCCCCTGTCTATCCTCTTCAATGGTGCTGGCCACTCCTGCGGCTTGCTCCCAATGCTGTGCATTCCAGACCACCTCCCCATTCTTCCCTGCCCCTCCTTCCCCTGTCCTGCTGGGCGGCCCAGCCCCAGTGCTCAAAGGCTCGCCCCCAGCTCCATACACAGCTCCCCCGCCTTCCCTCCTTCTCACTCAGTCTCTCCTGACTCTCAGGTCAAGCTGCCTGTACCTTCCAGACATCCTGAGCTGCTACTGGCTCCCAACCCCCACTGCCTCTAGGTCTCACCTTGATGGGCCACTTGTTTGTATCATTTGAGATGCTTAGTGTTTTGTTTTTCGTTTTTAAAGACAATACAAGTACACGATAAAAATTAAAACAGCATGAAAGTGTAAAGAGTGGAAGGGAAGACACCTCTCCCTCCTTGCTCCTTGAGAACTCTACCCCCTCCCTCGAGGCTTTCCCTGTTGGCAGCGGGCTGTGGCCTCTCACAGAGATAGTCCGCACATGCGCAGTAGGCCTATATAGATCTGTGTCCACGCGCAGACGGTGAGAGAGCTCACACTTGGCCTTGAACTTTCCTTTCTTCCATGTGATAACGCCACGTGGAGATTGTTCTGTATCTTCACATTATATGGGGTGTCTGAAGAGTCTGGAAACTTAGGGCAAGTATTTATTTTCTGTACTTTTTTCAGATTAATGATTGGCACCTTGCCTTTAAATGTCGAAGGTCATCACCTGCAAACTGGACGCTCAAGGGAGCCAGCCTGAGTGTGTTATTTGGAAAAGTAACATATTGTATGAAAACACGTTCCCTGGGCCTCCACCCTGGAGACCCGCCTCTTTTCCTAAGGGTGTGCTGCGGCCTCATGCACGGATGGTGCGTGGTTCTCTAGCCAGTGCCCTCCTCAAGGCTGTGTGCAGGCTATTGCTCTGGGCACACCCGCAAGGAGAGTTGCAGGATAGGTTCTTACATGCGCTTGCTGGATCAGAGGACAAACAATTGTAGGTATGGCTGAGTGGTCCTCTGAAGAGGCGGTGCCCATTATGAGGGTGACGTGCTCTGTGTGTGACCTAGTCTGCCACAGAGCAGGAGCTCCTCATGAAAAAGAGCTGCCCTTCCCTCCTGGTGAGGTGTCCAGAGGACAGGGCTGGCTTCTCTCTCTCGCTCTGCATCACGTCCCCCGTGCATGGCGGAGGAGTCGCACAGGCCAGGAGCACAGCGGGGCAGAGCTGGCCAGTACCCGACTGAGGCAGTGGCATCAACTGATGTACCCCCTTTCTCCATCAGACAGCGCAGCGACCATCAGCAGGCGAGCAGCCCTGGGAGTGGGGTTCTGCCTGGCCGTCTTCATCCTGGCAATCTGGGGAGTCAAGCTTCAGCGGAGGTGAGCTCTTCCCACGCCCACCTCATTCGCTCTCCCTCCGCCCCTTCCAGGCAGTTACCCCAGCTACTCCATCCTGTAGATGGCCCCAGCATGCCCATCCACAGGGTCCTCTTCCCCGTCTCTTCATCCTCACTGAGCAGATCTTTACTTCTCAGCTGGAAGCGGATTCAGAGCCAGCAGAGGCTTCAGGAAAATTCCAGTGGACAGAGCTTCTTTGTGAGGAATATAAAGGTAGGATGGGAGAAAAATGAAATGGAGGGCAGACCCTGAAGTCAAGAAAGAAACAGTGGAGAGGGGTGATGAAGGGTACTTTGGGGGTGGTGCCTGGGGTATCAGAGACCAGAGAAGGGAGCTACGGTCGGGGGTGAGTGGTAAGAGCTGAAACCTTGTCTCTCTCCCAGGCTAGAAGGACCCCCCAAGCTGAAGGTCCCCACTCCCTGGGGTGCTACAACCCGGTGATGGAAGATGCAGTCTCCTATGCTGCTTTGCGCTTTCCCCCTGGCGAGACTGACTCACCAAGACTTGGGTACTGAGGGTACTGGGAGGTGACACCTGCACCCAGGAGGGCTGCGGGGGGAAGGCCAAGGGTTGCCTGCCCCCTCGGGGCCAGGCCTGTGCCTCACCCCCTCAGTCCAGCTCCGTAGCACCACCCTGGGTGATGGTCTAGGGAACTGCATGCATGCTCCATCACCAAGGTCGAGATTTTGTGATACACACATTACATACATGCATTCACTCATTTGACATATTAGCTCCTACTGTGAGCACTGGGCATAATACTTAAGGGGCTGAGAGGCTGGGGGTGCTCTTAGGGTTTAGTGAAGTTGAAAGAAGGAGCAGAGTTCATGCAATAGGTTTCATTGTGGTCATCCATCTGCCTCCCCTCTCAGAGATGCAGGGACCTCAGAGATGCAGGGACTTTCCCCAAACAGGGACGACACAGTCACTTACTCCGTGGTGCAGAAGAGTCAGCTGGTAAGAGGGCGGGGCTATGGAAGGTGGTGGGTGGGGGACCTGGCCTTGGCTGTGAGTCCCAGACAGGAAGGACTTGGCTGGACTCAGTGGTGGCACAGGCTGGGCAGTGGGGCGGGCTGCTCAGGCCCAGGTGTGGGCAGAGCCAGGGCAGGACCCTCCCAGTCTGAGATGCTGGCCGCAGCCAGTTTCTGGACAAGAGGACTCCTGCTTGGGGCTCTTGGACCCCCAGGTGGAGTCGGGGAGATAATGGGCAGGGAAAGCAGACTGTGGGAGGCTGGTGACCGTGAGGCCAACCTTCCCACAATGTGGCTTTCTCAGGGCGACTATGAGAACGTGACTCCAAGTGTCCTGGAAGATGAGGGGATACATTATTCGGAGCTGGTTCATTTTGGGGCTGGGGAGCGGCCTCTGGCCCAGGAAGGAGTGGAATACATCATTCTCAAGCACTGAAAGGCCAAACTGGTGGAGGTGGAGTTGCCCATGGGCTGAGGCCGGGGTGGTCCTGGGGCTTTCTCAGCCCCTGCTGCTCAGCTGCAGTTACACACCCTCCCTCTATACATACATACGCACGCATGCACGCACGCACGAGGTTACTGCAACACGAGTTGGTGCAGAGAACTTTGTGCATGGTCCAGAGACAGTCCTCCTTCTCAGAACTGATAGCCCTGACCCTCCAAAGGGTCTGTCTCTGGCCCTTTCCCACTTGCCTTCCCACCCAGAAATACCTACCCTGAGCTGTACAAACCCCCCTACCCCACCCCAGCCATCTACCACCACCTACCGCCTCCCAAACCCCATCCCCAGGTGGCCATGTCCCTGCTCAGATCAGCTGGTCATTACTTTTCTTTCTTTCTCTCCCTATGCCTTTGACAGCCCACCCCTGCTCTGATAGCCCCACTCACTAATCTTAAGCCTAATTTTTGCCTCGGGGGCAAAGCCCAGGGGAAGAGTGACAGAAGTGAGGTAGAAAGAGGCACTGCCCTGGGCTGGTTTCTCCTCTGTGCAAGCGAGGCATTCCACGGAGAGGACTATGCTGCTGCAGCCCCTACCCTCAGGGGTCTCGTGGTCTAAGACACGCACTGATGTGGACACACGTGTAACAGACACAGAGCTGCACAATAAAAATGGCTCAGGTACCACACCAAAGAGCCAGTGAACAACTTCCAGTCTGCAGAGTCTGAGTGGGGACAGGGCAAAGGGGGAGGCATCATGGGGTTTGGGGAGAGGGGAAAGGTGATTTCACGATCCAATCAGCAGATCAGAGAGTTCATTGTCTTGTTGTAAAGAGGGCATTGGCTCTGCAGGCAGGCACACTCTTCTACTTAACCAGCCAGTGATCTTGGGCAAAGTTCGCCAGCTTCTCTGAGCCTCATTTTCATCTATTGTAAAGTGGTGGTTCAAGATAGGAAGTGAGATATAATCTTATGTCATATTATATATAAGAAGGCTAACACAATAGCCCAAAGTCCCTAAATACCAAATTCCCATCTGATTTGCATCTCTTGAAGACTGTGAAAAGGGGAAGCAAATTCACTACTCACAGCTATTCTTAAAAGTGACCCAACTAAGTTCTTTCACAACCCACAGTTGCCTGACTTCTTGATGGCCAGCTGCAGTGAGAAACCTCATGGCTTTTCTGTCTTCCCCCGTCACCCTCACTGGTTCTCTGTTGTGTGCACTAACTCCCACTTGCCAGGGAGGTCCTTCGGACTTCCCTTCCGCTTCTCGGTCTGTTCTCTCTCCACTCAGCCTCCTGCTTCTGCCAAGGGGCCAAGGCCCATCCTTTGAGGTGGGAGCTCATGGTAAGTCAATCAGTAAGATGGCCGTAAAACTCCTGACCTGTGGTGGGTGCTTCAAAAGTGCGCCTTCCTTTCCCGTCTGCCCCACACCAGATGCTCTCGGAGAGGAGATGTTCAGGTCGTCCTTGTGATGCAGGAAAACGGATGTGGGGTGTGAGGAGGGCCGAGGCCCAGGTCTTGGTTGAGCCCCTGGGACGTGCCCCGCCAAGTGTGGGTCCTTGGCTTCACAAAGGAAAGAATTCAAGCATGAGCCACCATTGAGTAAAGGTAGATTTATTTAGAGAGATACATACTGCACAGAGTATAAGGCAAGAGAAAGGCAAGGAAAGAGGTGTGGGAATTGGGTGCTCAGGTTTAAGTCAAAGTGGGTACACACTCCATAGACAGAGTGCGGGCCGTATCCGAAGGGGAGAGGAGAGCGCCAAGGGCCACTAGGCGTGGTGGTGTCACTTTTTATGGTCTCAGTAGCTTCACACGTCTACAGGTGGGATCAATCCAATTGCCCTGGGGAAGAGGCTGGGATTCCCAGGCATTGGGCCACCGCCCATCCTTTGGCCTTTTGCAGTTTGCCTTGGGGCTGTCATGGTGCCTGAGGGCATGTTATTTGATCGCGCTGTTACAATGAGCATATAATGGAGCTCAAGTTCTACTAGAAGTTAAACCTGTTAATCCTCAAGGCCAACTAGGAGGTGAATCTTCCACCATTTTGGTGCTAAATTGCTGTCATTCCTTGATTGGCTGTACCCTGCCCTCTTCCATCCTGTCTCATTTGGGATACCAATGGCAGAGTGGAGCACTGATTTCCCCATCCACCCACTTTGTCCCTAGTTTAATTTCTCGTGAGCACCATTTGCATTTCTGGAGAAAGGGAAGGCATTGAGAACTGCTGAAATGAGATGGGGAGGGTTTGGGGGCCAGTATTATTCAACCCCTTACCCAGCAAACATCTACTAAACACTTACCACTTCATCCAGCACAGAGCCAGTTGTTGGGGGTTCAACAGAGACGTGACCTGGTCTTAATCTTGGGGATCTCTAGTCTAGGGTGCCCAAAGTGTTTTAGGAGCTGAAGGCAGCCGCCATCCTGATGAGGCGTGGCACAGACTACCTGGCACCCAGCCATGTCTTCCCATCCTGTCCCCAAGCCTGGCTGCTGATATAAACCTACTTCACGACCAATTGACCGAGAGATCTGCCTGTCGACAGGCCCCGCCGAGGCGTGCACAGCAGGTGACTGGGCAGCGCTGAGGACAGGGACTCCAGGACACAGGTGGCCCATGACCCAGCCCCAGATCTCACTGTCCTTCCAGGGCCCAGGCAATTGACCATTCATCCGACTCACTGAGTCCCTGCTATGTATGCAGCAAGCAATGGACACAGCAGACAAGTCTCTGGCTTCACTGGCCAACGTTCTAGCAGAGGAGCTAGCAAAGCTGATGTCACAGAGGCGTGGCTGCTTGGGATAGACACAACGTGAGATGAAAACAGAGGGACTGGACAAGGGGAGCTGTTTGGGATGCTGGGGTCAAGGAAGACCCTCTGAGCAGGTGACACTGGGCAGACACCTGAATTGCCAGGTGAGAGGGCCAAGGCAAGAAGAGCTCGAAGACGTGCGGTCTCCCTCCCTGTGCACCTGGCCTCGCTCTTCTCCCAAAGGCTTGCCACAGGAGGTGAAATGGCGCTCCTGCTGATTTTTCCCTGGGTTGTCAGCTCCTCAGTGCTCCCCAAAGACAGACTACTACACAACAGATGTCCCATTCTTCTGCACTCCAAGGGATGCACTGGACGACAGATACAGGACTTGGGAGGGAGGTGACCGAGAGTCAATTTAGTCACTGAAGGAAATTAGATCATTTCTTTGAAGGGAGTTGTGGGTAAGCTGAGAATCTCCTGCTGCCTGCGCTTGAAGCCTGGGTGGGAAGCACTTCCAGAAAAACCACTCAGAGAGGCTTATTCTGGGTGACTTGGAATTTGGGGAGGAGGGGGCACGGCGACCTGGTGACTGACATACAACCAAGAAAACTGTATTGTCAGTCAGAGGCAGGGAAGAGACAGAGGGAGAGAGGCAGAGAGATAGAATTACAGAGATGGCCTGTAATCTCTAAATCTCACTTAGGAGGTCTTCCTAGAAGGGCCAGGTGACCCCCAGGGAGGTAACCCACTGAACTTCCCAGGTTGAGAGGAAAGTTAAGCATTCAGCTGGAGGCATGAGCCATCTGTGTCTTAGCGAGCATCACCCAGCGTCCCTACAGGTGCCCCAGAGAGGCATCCCCTTTGACATTCGTGCAGCCCAGAGTGGCGACCACAGCCCGGGCACCTTAGCGCCACCAAGCAAGACTGTACTTGCTCCCTGTCTCTCCTCCTCCCTGCTCCCATCCGCACCGCGAGGGTCAGCAACCACTGTCATCAAGCCAGAGGGGAAAGGAGAGGGAGATGGAGGAGCCCGAGGCCTGCACCGGTCGGGGGAGAGCGGAAGCTCCAACTGGGAACGCAGATCTCATTGTCCCACGTGCTAACTGCCACGAGGAGATGGATGGGTGAGTGAAGGGAGTGGAGTGAGCCCAGGGCCAGCTCACGAGCTCAGGAGAAAAGACTTAGCCCCCAGAGCAGGTTTGCACAGGCGGTTGGGGGTGGGGGTGGGAATACCGTTATGCTCTGGCAGTTTGTACCCCACCAACCCTGCTCTTTAAAAGTGCTATGTTCCTCACTTGGCCAGAAAAACCCAACATTGCTAACCTCTCCCCTTCCTGTGTTCGCATCACCTTGGACCCTCACCTCCTTCAGTCTGGCCTCAGTTCCAGCCTGAGATGCCCCATTAGCTGCTCATCCAGGCTGCGAGGGCCTCAGGCTAATGGCCCTGCCACTCCGCCCTCCTCTCTTTTCCAGTTCACTGCCTATCCTGGCCACCCTCCCTCGGGGGACTCCTGAGCCTCAGAGACATCTGGCAGCACCAAGAGGTGAGTCCCTCTTTCTGTGGCTTCTCTCCCCACAGCAGTTATTCCCCAGACCCCCAGATGTCCCTGCTTGGGGATTCCCCCAAAGGCTGCTGGTGTCATTCCCCGTGACACTGATGACTTATCCCTGGACCCTCCCCCGGAGCCCTCTGCTCCGGCCCTTTGCCACAACCTCTACCTTAGCCAAACCTAGCTTCTCCCTGCCTTAGCTTGGAGTTGCCATCACCCTGACCTGCCTACTGGCAGTGGGGGTGGGGGGTTTGGGGCAGCTCCTCTTTCCAGGGATTTGAGGGAAGGGCGCGAACACGGGAGTCTAACTTCCACTCCTAAGAAAAACACATACTGTCAGGCTCAACTCTGTCCTGAAATTCTCTCTACCCCTTGTCTCCCCAGAGTCTCAGAAATCAAGAGGACTTCCCTCTTATGGGACCTGCACGCTGTGTTCCATCTCCTCCTGTTACACTGAGGTCGCTCTCTCCATTTTAAGGGAGGGGATGTGGTGGAAGGAAAGCAGAGGACTGAGAGCTAGAGGTCCTTGCTTCTAAACCAGCTCCACGGCTAACGGGCTGCTCCCTCCCTCTATGGGCACCTGTCCACTCAGGTCTCCCATCCCGAGCAGCAGTGCTGAAACCAGCCTGTGACCCCAGGAGCTCCCCTTCCCCGGCCCCGAGATCTGAGGGCAGGCAGCACGCGGAGCGCAGGGGTGGCCCCATGGACCTGCCCCCGCAGCTCTCCTTCGCCCTCTACATGGCCGCCTTTGCGCTGGGCTTCCCGCTCAACACGCTGGCCATCGCGGGCGCCGTGTCCCACGCCCGGCTCCGCCTCACCCCCAGCCTCGTCTACACCCTCCACCTGGGCTGCTCTGACCTCCTGCTGGCGACCTCCCTGCCCCTGAAGGCGGTGGAGGCGCTGGCCGAGGGAGCCTGGCCTCTGCCGGCCCCTCTCTGTCCCGCCTTCGCCCTGGTCCACTTCGCTCCCCTCTACGCGGGCGGGGGCTTCCTGGCCGCCCTGAGTGTGGGCCGCTACCTGGGTGCCGCCTTCCCCTTGGGCTACCAAGCCGCCCGGAGGCCGCGCTACTCCTGGGGCGTGTGCGTGGCTATATGGGCCCTCGTCCTCTGTCACTTGGGATTGGTCTTTGGGTTGGAGGCTCCGGGAGGCTGGATGGACAATACCACCAGCCCCCTGGGCATCAACACACCAGTCAACGGCTCTCCGGTCTGCCTGGAGGCCTGGGACCCGGCCTCTGCGGGCCCTGCTCGCCTCAGCCTCTCTCTCCTGCTCTTCTTTCTGCCCCTGACCATCACAGCCTTCTGCTACGTGGGCTGCCTTCGGGCACTGGCCCGCTCAGGCCTGAGCCACAGACGGAAGCTCAGGGCGGCCTGGGTGGCCGGCGGGGCTCTGCTCACACTGCTGCTCTGCTTAGGACCCTACAATGCCTCCAACGTGGCTGGCTTCCTGCACCCCAACCTGGGAAGCCGCTGGCGGAAGCTGGGGCTCATCACAGGTGCTTGGAGTGTGGTGCTCAACCCGCTGGTGACCGGCTATTTGGGAGCGCGTACTGGCCGGGGGACAGCATGTGTGGCAAGAACAAAAGGAGGGCCATCCCAGAAGTAATAGCCACGGTGAGGGGGAAGGGGCAGGGTGCAGAAGAGCCTGACTGCTTCTCTAGGCTCCTGGCGAGGCCCTGCTCCAAAGGAACTGCAGGGTGGCCTTGCCTGGGGGCATCCCTGGAGCCACTTACGGGAAGAACTGAGCCTGGCAGAAGACGGCATCACAGTCACAGAGAATGGAGGCCTGGAGCTGGGACGCAGGAGGAAGGTAAGCTGGCCTCTGCACAAATCAGCGTGACTTCCCACCTCTGTCTGTCTCTCTTCTCTAGTCCTGACTGGCCTGTCTGCCTGTGCCCCACATGGGGAAGGAGGTGGGAAGTTTGCCTCTAAGCTAGAGGAGCTGCCACTCTGATGGTACACTTTGGGAGATGTTACTCCAAAATCATTTCCTAGGAAAGAACATTTTAAATTTGTGAATAAGAGCCAGGAGGCAAGATAATGACACTGCTATATCATTTAGAACTCACAAGGGGGCAGCATTGGAACTGGGAACAGGAAGTTGGTAGGAAAAGATGCGGCAGCAGGGTGGGAGAATACACTCGCAACACCAGAAACAGTCGCAAACAAATACAGAGTCTCTAATACAGGACAAGTACCATGCCAAGTGCTTCACAAGTGTCTTATTTCATCCTCGCACAATCCTTTGATTTAGCCACACGACTGCTGTACAGTTGAGCAGGTTGCTCACTGCACAAGGGTGACCGGCAGAGGCGTAAACACTGAGTGAATGCCAGCCTATGCTTTGCTCACCAAGCCACGTGCTTGGCATGGGGCTGCTTCCATCCAAGGGAAGGAGCTACGTATTCTACTTTGAACAAAGACGCCACCCACTCCTTAAGCAGTGCACCTTGATGGGGGGCTGTGCTCACCAGAGGGGGTACCTTTTCCTAATTTGCACTCAGGTGCTGCATGAGGTAGCCACAGTCCCAGAACCAGGAGTTAATATCGTCTTTATTTTGTGGGGTTAAGAAATTTGCCCGAGGTCCTACAGCAGTGAAGACGCGAGTGTAGGATGTGATCCTTCAAGGCAGGACCCTCCAAGGATGGGGGGACAGTTGGAAAACTTGAGGTATCAGGATTAATACCCATCCTTGTGGTCCCTTTTGCGAAGCTGAATGGTAGTGCCCTGAACCCGAGCGAGAGAGTGGGCAGAGGAGAGTGGCCACAAGAGATTAACATCGGGCACCCGCTCGGATGAGGCGAGGTGTAGCAAGCAGACTTGTTCCTCTAATGACAATGACATGAACACACAAAAGCAAAAAAGTGGTAGCTACGTGCCTGGCGTGCACAAACTGGTTTATACAAGTCATCTCTTTGCATGCTTAACCGTCTACAAGGGAAAGGATTTTTGTTTTCCTTGTCAACGTAACCCCAGCATCTAGAAGACAGCCAAGCACATAGTAGGCTCTCAGTAAATATTTGCTGAATGAATGAAGGTTCATAACAGCCCTCCAAAGAATGTTTTATTACCTCGGTTAAGAAATGTGGAAATATGCCCTACAAGTTAAGTAACTTGCCGGAGGTGCCACCGAAGGCAGAAACAGGTTTGTTCTCTGCACGCTGGTGACACCAGGGACTGTCAATCACAGCCCGAATTCCAGCCCAGGTGGCCCTCTGCCCCTCCTGTAACGCCAGAACCAGTCTCTCTCCCACTGAGCCGGAGTGCCTGCTGCTGCCAGGCCACTTCTTCCAGTTACTTGTGCCTCCTCCACTTGGGGGAGATTTCAGCTCCTCCTGGGGTCCCCCAGCATCCTCTCATGACCGTCACCCCTCGGGCCCTGAACCTCAGGCCAGTGCACTGTTTCCTGCGGGGGTTCTCTGCCTCTGTATTACCGATGTCTTATTATCCTCTCACAACTCAGTCCCCGCAAGGACACCCCCCGCCACCAAGTGCCAGCACCATGACAGCAGAAACTTTGCTTTGTTCACAGCTATACTTCTAACAACGTATTTGAGATAAAAGTTACCTATGATAAAAGTAACCCATTTTCAGTGTACAATTCCACCATTTTTAGTGAATTTTCTGAAGAGTGCAATTATCACTGTAATCCAGTTTAGATCATTTTCATCACCCCAGTAAGGCTTAGTTATAGTTAATCCCATTTCCATTCTCAGTCCCCAGGCAACAAGTAACCTACTTTCTGTTTTTATAAATTTGCCTGTTCTGGACATTTGGTAAAAATGGAAACATTCATAGTCTTCTGTGCTTGGCTGGTGGCACTTAGAGTAATATTTTTGAGGTCCATCCATGTGACAGTATGCATGGGTATTTCATTCCTTTTTCTTTGCCAAATAGTATTCCACCACATAGCTATGCCACATGGTTTACCCATTCACTAACTGATGGACCACCAGGTGATGTTTCCACTCTTTGGCTACCCTGAAAAATGCTATTTTGAGCAAGTCTCTGTGTGGACAAATGCTTGAACTTCTCTTAAGTAGATACTTACAGAAGAACTGGGTTGCATGGTAGATTTGTGTTTATCTTTTTAAGAAACTGCTTTCCAAAGTGACTCCACCATTTTACGTTCTCACCAGCAATGTATGAGGATTCCCATTTCTCCGCATCCTTGCCAACACTTGGTATTATCTGAATTTTTTTTGTGTGTATAGCCATTCTGCTGGGTGTGAAATGATATCTCACTGCACTCCGTAAATATTTGAATGAATGAGGACATAATCTCTGAAGCTGGACAGAAGTTGGGTTTGAACCCTGCTGGTGATACTTAACAAACTATATTACCTGCAGCGAGTCACTTCCCCACCGTGAGGATTTCCAGACATATGGGGATGAGACAAATATCATATGATATCACATATACGTGGAATATAAAAAAAATGACAAAAATGAACTCATTTATAGAACAGCAAGAGACTCACAGACATAGAAAACAAACGAACCAGGGGGGGAAAGAGGGGAGGGAGGGATAAATTGGGAATTTGAGATTGGCAGATACAAACTACTGTGTAAAGAATAGATAAATAGCAAGGTCCTACTGTATAGCACAGGGAACTATATTCAGTGGCCTGTAGTAAACCATAATAAAAAACAATGTATATATTTATAAAGTTATAAAGTTATATATATACTGAATCACTAGATTGGTCACCAGAAAATACAACATTGTAAAGTGAAAAAAAAAAGACATGTTAAAGGGTCTTGTTATCTCACATCTTATGGAAATCCCTTTCCCTTTTTCCCCACACTTAACTTTCAGTAAAACAATAATTTCTCAAAAAAAAAAAAAGACATATGGTGATGCCCTGAGAAGCAGTATGTCTGCTGTAGATTACACGCCCACTAAAACATAGCTGTCACCATCACTGCCATCATCATCACTATTACGATCACCCCAGAGACAAGCCCGCACCAGTGACTGGGATGATGGAAGCTGACATCTGTTCGGTGCTCACCACAACATGCCAGGCTCCATTCTAAGCCTCTGACATATATTAATGGTTTAATCTACACAAGAACCCTATGAGATCGGTGCTACAATTATCCTTGTTTTACAGATGAGAAAGCACACATACAGAGGGTTTAAGTCACTTGCCACAAATCGTGGAGTTAGTGAGTGACAGGGCCAGCCCTGAACCCCGGCTCCAGAGCCCACGCTCTCCATCACTGCATCGCACTTCCTGCCCTTACAAGGCAAACTGGATGAGTGCCATTCTAGAGGAGCAGATAAAATTCAAGTGGAGGATCAGGGAGAAGATGATGAAGTCTGCTAGGGTCTGGTTAGGACATCCCCTCTGAGGCTGCCGAGGAGCAAAGCAGGCAGACAGTCGTGGAATTTGCTCCTCATTTGTGTACTGGCCCAGCAGCGCTGCTAACGGAGCTAAAGGCATCTTTTGTGCTGTTGCTCAACAGTGAGTGACGTCATGGGCACTGCTAGGTTTTTATCAGTTCTGCCAGATAATAGCTAACCATACTTGTTGTGGAGGAGTCGGCAAGGTGCCGAGCAGCAGAGCACTCTCAAACCAGCAGGTGAGCACGGGGCCCTGAGGAGCTCTGTGGAGGGTGCCTTGGTGCTTGGGGAACGGGAACAGGAGACAGGGCACCACCAGGAAGAGAGGCAGGCTGACTCTGCTGGGGAAAGCATGGGGGGCTGAGGGCATGGGGGGCGTGGGGATGCTCCCTGCTGATAGTCAAGAGGCAGATGGTGCAAGATCCCCACCCAGACTGCTTCCATCTCTGTCTCTCTCTCGCCAGTGGCCATGACCATGGACACCAGCCCAGACAGGTCCTCCTTCCCCGGCAATCACTGGCTCTACTTCTCCGTGTACCTCTTCACCTTCCTCCTGGGGCTCCCCCTCAACCTGGTGGCCCTGGCGATCTTCGTGAGCAAGCTCCGGCACCGCCCGGTGGCCGTGGACGTGCTCTTGCTGAACCTGACCCTCTCGGACCTGCTCCTGCTGCTCTTCCTGCCCTTCCGCATGGTGGAGGCGGCCAGTGGCATGCACTGGCCCCTGCCCTTCATCTTCTGCCCCTTGTCCGGATTCCTCTTCTTCACCACCATCTATCTCACGTCTCTCTTCCTGGCAGCTGTGAGCATTGAACGCTTCCTGAGTGTGGCCCACCCTGTGTGGTACAAGACCCGGCCGAGGCCGAGGCAGGCTGGCCTGGTCAGCGGGGCCTGCTGGCTCCTGGCCGCCGCTCACTGCAGTGTGGTCTACGTCACCGAGTTCTCGGGGAACTCTTCCCACAGCTCAGGTATCAACGGGACCTGCTACCTGGAATTCCGGGAGGATCAGCTGGCCCTTCTCCTGCCTGTCCGGCTGGAGATGGCTGTGGTCCTTTTCGGGGTGCCCCTGCTCATCACCAGCTATTGCTACAGCCGCCTGGTGTGCATCCTTGGCAGGGGAGCCAGCCATCGCCGGCGGAAGAGGGTGGCGGGCCTCGTGGCAGCCACGCTGCTCAACTTCCTCGTCTGCTTTGGGCCCTACAATGTGTCCCATGTCATTGGCTACATCCAAGGCAAAAGCCCGGCGTGGAGAGGTTACGTGCTGCTTCTCAGCACCCTGAATTCCTGCGTCGACCCCCTTGTCTACTACTTCTCATCATCTGGGTTCCAAGCTGACTTCAAGGGGCTGTTGGGGAGGTTGGCTGGGGCCTGGGGCTCTTGGAGGCAGCAAGGCTGTGTGAAACTGAAGAAGAATGAAGGAGAGGGGCCGCCGCAGGAGCTGTCCAACATAGAGACCAGGTAGTGGACTCCAGGAGGGCGCTGGAGCGGGCGGCCGGGTGGACTGGGCTGAAAGGCAGATCATTCCTGGGAGCAGTTCCTCACTCAAGTCAGGTGGGACCTTGGAGGGGCAGGCTGGGGACTGACGCAGTCTGGGGCAGAGGTGGCCCCCAGCTTTCCTCAGGATGTGCTCACCGAAATCCAGCTCTCCATCTCACCACACTCCTCCCTTCCCATCCCCCCACATTCGGCCCTGGGAAGTAGTCAAGGTGAAAGAGGGCTCTGGAGGAAACTGAGCTCTCCGGGGCAGCAGGCCAGCTCCTGCACTTTTCTGAAGGTAAAGGAGGAGGTGAGAACAGTGTCCAGGGTCCAGAGGAGCTGCCCAGTGACCTGGGACAGGAGAGAGGCAGAATCTACCCCCACAGAACTAGTGACCCAGCAGATCAGGAGTGGGGACATGGGCTGTAGGCACAAAAGAGCATCCTGCTCTCACGTGGGCCTGTCCAGAAAATTCCCACTGTTCAGTAAATTCAGATTTTCAAGGACATTTATGAAAAACGATAGAAGAAAAATCACCTAAATAAATTTGGCAGCATGCAAAAGGAAGTGGCTTTTTCTTATTCTGTTTTTTTCTTATGGTGTTTGTGGGTGTTGTATATGGGTGTATCTTAGGTGGAATTAATGAATGGAAGATGCTGAAGGAAAATGATTAAACAGAAAGATGCCTAGCTGTTGGGAGAAGATCTGGGCTGGAGGGATAAAAGTAATAGCTAAACTGTCCTCAGGACTTGGCCCGACTCTGTCTTCTTCAATCTTCTCAATAGCCACGTGGCAGGTATTCTCACGGCTCCCACTTTACAGGTGAGGGAATAGGCCCAGAGAGGTGAAGCCTCTTACTGAGATCCTATAGCTAATAAGTGATTGAAGCAGGACTGGATTAGCTGACTCTGAAGCCAGTCTGCCTCCAGCTGTGTGTCATCTGCAGGGACTGGGCCCAGTCCCACTTCCAGAGTCAGTGGAGGCAATCTGACCAGGACAACTGAAAACAGGCCACGCTGACAATTGAACTGATGCAAAGCAATCGACCATTTGTGTTGATACATCCTATTCTCAGTAGAGAAATCTGCGAGGCCAAATGACAACCTTCCAAGTCCAACGACACCCTCTCAGACGTCTGCTTGTGATCCCTCAATAGAAAAAGTACATTCTTTACAGGGCGTGTTTGCCCTAACAAACTGATAGCCCTAGGCAATGCCTAATCTCACAGTAGCTCAGGCTGGCTTGTTGCGCCCACCTTATCAGTCATCAACCCCACCGCCCTTCACGGACCCTAAACCTCTTACCTCACCTACAGCCAATCAGAGACTAGTGCACAAGCCGATCAGTCACCTTGGGACCCGACCTTATAAAAGATCCCAACAACCTCTCGTCTGTGTGGCCTGCTGTTGTCTCTCACAGCGTCCCCCTAATAAACTCCTTTACTATTCTCCTCCTTCATCTCTGGTAAATTCTTTTACCAACCCTCACGTCACCATGTCACCAACCAGCCACCGTTGTGTCCCACAACAGAACCCCTTTGGAAAAATAAAATTAAGAGAATTTGTCAGCCCAGTTCGGGTTACTACAAAGACAGATGTATGTTCTTCAGAGCTATTTTTATCAAAACGGGATCATTTAGTAATTTTTCATTTTCCACTGAGCGATGGTACATGAGAAAGAGTTGGTCAAGGCTTCCTCCCCCGGCAAGGCAACCCGAGAAATGCTGGCACGTGTTTGCACTCAGTCAGTTTTGGTTCTCAAACATTTATTGCTACTGTGTGCAGATGGCTGGGCTCAGAACTTCAGGGATTTCAATATTAACGTCTTTAGCATCTGCTTTCTTCCCGGGGTTAAGGTCACTGGGGAATGAGGACTGGCTATGGGTGGGCGACTGGGTCTCAGGTGATGGGAGAAAGACACTGTCTCTGTGCAGAGATGAAGGAGTGAGCTGTGTTTCTGTCCCATGGCTTATCTGTCTGTCCCGAGGCACAGGGGCCTTGATGTGAACATGGGTCTGAACATGGTTCAGAAGGGAACGAAGGTGTGGTGGAGTCCTGCAACTCCAGGCGTGGAAACAAGGACCCAAGTCGGAGGACAAAGAGGAGCTGGAAGCCATGCATTCCAGAGAGAGCCACGAAGAACAAGAGCAGACTCCTTCCCCAGGGTTTATGCTGAGGAAGAAGAGGCAAGCATCACCCAGCACCGCCCCACCCCCACCCCAGTTGTATAAGCTGAGGCTGAGGGGTGGGGACGATGAAAAGTCATCAGAGCCTGGGTGGTGGTGACGGGAGAGAGTTATAGTGTTTTCCGTATCCCTCGGAAACCAAGGGGAAAGAGGTACTCATGGGGTGGAGGGTGTACTCTGAGGGTGCTGCCCTGTGCCCATCTAGGCAGGGGAAGGAGATGGGCAGAGACGGCATGGGAGCATCTGTACGAGTGATGCAGGCATCACGCATTCTCCCCATTTGGCAGAGCAAGCAGGTGTGAGTCTCCCATGGGTGAGGGGATCCCAGGCGCAGGTGGGAGCTCTGGGGGTGCTGCAAGAAGTCAGACCAGGTTGGATCTCCCAAGACTGAGGTTGGAAGAACGCAGTCTAGCTGCAAAAGAGAACCGACGATTGGGTACCTGACTCACAGCAGATACCAAAATCTACTCAGTATAAACTAAGGCAGTGCCTCTCAGACTTTTTGTATCACTGTTCCTTCAAGGAGCCTTTCTGGATTTTTCCTCCTACTCAGTATCTTCCCTTCCCTGTCCATGAAATTTTAATGCAACAGGCATACTATATATCTGTTCATGTGTGTGGCCCTCTGGAAGGCCACAATTCGCTGTAGGATTTTTTGACTCCCCCAGAATTAATTTCCACCTCTACGGGGGCAATTTTGCCCCTGCTGAGAAAGCATGAGCTAGAGACCAGGTCTCATCGCTCACAGAGTGACAGAGCCTGTCTCACACGACAGCAGCCCAACAGAGTTAGGTTCATTATCTTGCTGGAGCAAAGGAGACCACGCTCCAGAGGAAGGGTGGAGCATCTCACAAAAAACGAAACAGGATTATTATAGGTTTGGGGTCAGGGTGACATTTAAGTGATATTCCACTGAAACAGTGTTTGATAGGTTCAAAGCAAAGCACACCTGGGTGGAAAGAGGTGAATTTTAGGCCTGGGTTAAAGCAGACTCAGGGTCCTATTTCTTTGGAAAATACAAAATAAAGGTAAACGTAGAATTTTGTGTCTGAAAACTCTTTATCTGAAGCTCTGGGGGCTGAAGGCTGCTTCTCTGGGTCAGAGGGTTCCGCCCAGATCCTCCAAGCCGCAGTGAGGGGTCCATTCTCACTGATAGGGTTTCAAACAGCCATGTTTCTGACAGTTTGTGATTTTAGAGAACAAGGTTTCTTAGCAGCATAATGTTGTTAATTAACACAAGGAATTTTTTGGGGGGGGTAATCAGGTTCATTTACTTAATTTTTTTTTAATAGAGGTACTGGGGATTGAACCCAGGACCTTGTGCATGCTAGGCGTGCTCTCTATCAGTTGAACTACACCCTCCCCCAGCACAACAAGTTTTTTAATGTTTACAAAAGGAAGTCACTGATGGCCATGAAGTAGGAGTTTTTCCCTTCTAGAAGGAAGGGTCTCCGTTCACCAAAACCCAGGGCAGTGCAACCGAGAAAGATGGGAAGAAGGGGAGACTTGACTCATCCCTGTCAGAGGTTCCCTGGGCCACAGGGCAAGTCTCAGCTTATTGGGAAATGGGGAGGAGGCTAGAAGTTTTAAATCACCAAGTGTCACCAGAAACCTAGGGAAGCTAACTCAAAAAGTCATGAAGAGGGAGTGGGAAGTATAGCTTAGTGGTAGAGCACATGATTAGCATGCACGAGGTCCTAGGTTCAATCTCCATCAAAAAAAAAAAAAAAGTCATGAAGAAACGGGCAAAGACATTCACTGCAGCCTGACTGAACGTAGTGAGTGGTGAACCCCCTCAGCACAGGCTAGTCAGGAACCAGCAGCAGAAGAAGAGGGCAGAGGGGCAGGCAGGAAGCAGAGAGGACACTAGGCTGGCTTCATGCCTTTTTCCCGAGTTGAATACATCACCTGTCACCAGAGACTTTGGCTAATTTAGCAGGTTGCCTCCCAATGTGCGTATATGGGCTGGGGTTGTTGGGGGAGTGCAGGGGGTTGGCGGTGGAAGCTGGGTGAGGCGGGGGGCAAGGGAAGCTGTGATGCAAAGCAGGAGAGGTAAGTCGACTTCACCTGCACCCTGGGAAGGGGCAAACATTAGACCAGGTTAGGGCTGGGGGAGGAGGGCAGTGAAGAACAGATTGAGGGGTAGGAACAAGAAGTCTGGGAGTCTGCAAAATTAGTCACAAGAATCATCTCAAAAGGAAGTAGCAGAGCAACAATGTAAGTAGAATAAGACTTGGAAGAAAAGTCAGACCATAGACTCCAAGACAGGAGAATCAGAGGTGGAAGATAGAGTCTAGTGGAGGGGAATGGGATGGGGACAAACACAGTGAAGTAGTGTGAGAAAGCGCTCAAATTTTTACCTTCCTCTCTCTGACATGACCCCTCTGGTTAAAAAATTTTTTTAAGATCCAAGCAATACAGGGAGTTGTGGCCCCTAAAACTTTGCAAAGAAAAGAGAGAAACTTGCTGACTTCCTGTTAAGGCCAGTTCTGAAAAATTATACGGAAGGACATCAAAGCATCAAGATGGTGTCCATGTTCTGGGGAAAGGATGCTGGGATCACATGCCAGAAAAGAATGGGCTAGAAGGAATGAAACTGATAAACCCTGGTGGAAGTAGGAAGGTGCATGGAGTTTACACCCTCCTCCCCTCCCCCACAATGGAGATGTGGGACTAGGGGACAGAAAATGTTGCAGAAGAGGAAATGGGGTACAGAAATATTTCTGGAAGAAGGTGATTTCACTGGATTCAGAACAGAAGGGTACAGTAAGACAACCAAATCAATCATCCCCTGCTGTAGAGCCCCCAGGAGGTGAATCACAGTTAGAACTAATCATGATAATCTTGTTCCCCTTTATTGGTGACTGGTCTCAGGATGGACATGTGACCCAATTCTAGCCAACAAAAGGTCTGCTAAGGGTCTCTGGGAAAGATTTTCCTCCATGCTAAAAGAGATGAACGTGTGAGGAGCTGCCCTCTCCCTTCCTGGTTTGGGAGCTTTTATGTGAGAAGGACCTGGAGCTGCAGCAGCCATTTTGGGGCCATAAGGCCGCAAACTTGAAGAGGAAAGATAACAAGCTAAGGGTGGCAGAGAAGAAGGATGGAGAGAGCTGGGGCCTTTGATGATCTTGTTAAACTGGGATCACCACCTCCAAAAGCAACAAACATTCCTATGGTTGACTCGGTATTGGCCAGATAGTCTCAGCCAAATGCATCTTAACTCTAATAGGTAAGCCTAACCTAAGAGTCCTATACCCTACTAGGATCTACCCAATGACATCTTCTCTTATTTTAAATTATTTTATGATCCTGGAATTTCTGAACTCTATTTGCTTTGCAGGAGATATGAAATCTTAGTGTTTACCTTAGTTATTAT